TTGTTGGACCATCAAAATAATTTTGTAGGAATCTTAAGCATGATGAGCAATGCTGCAAAATGTTTTGGTATTCTAGCCACCAATTTTGTTGTTCTATCTACTTTGATGATCCAGCCAAAATTATTCCCAGGTCTGTATCTAGCTAAATTTTTAGATTCTTCAGCAAAATTGCTCTTTCCATGTAAAACAGAGACTAGAAAATGCCTCTCCTTTTGCTCATAATAAATTCCCTCCAATATAAATAAAATAATAAAATTATAAAATATGAATATATAGCTAAGAATACAATTTCTGTGATAAGTAGACATTTATAATAAGAATAAATCATTCGTTTGCAATCAGCGCGTGAAAGCTTTAACGAGAGGAAAATCGAAGAATTCTAATTCAAGAACTTGTCTCTTTCTCCAGTATTCCTATATTCCCGTATATTTCCTCAATTAATCAATCAACTAATCTACTTTGCTAGAATAGTGACTGAAGAATTCTATATAAGTAACTAAGTAAGAATATAATTCCTATGATAGTAGACATCTTTAATAAGAATAAATCCTTCATTTATGATCGCGTAAAAATTAACGAGAAAACTCGGAGAAACTAATTCAGGAATTCGTCCTCCTCGTGTATGCATATTTCCTCGTTCAGCTAATCTACTTCACTCGAACGAAGACTGAAGAACACGCTTGTTTCTCCTCTCATTCGCAATAAAATTCTAGAATATAAACTAAATAATAGAATATAAAATATAAATGAGAATATAATTTCTATAAGTAGAAATCTCTTAAGAAGAATAAAATTCTTTATTTGCAGTGAAAGTTAACGATGAAAATCGGAAAACTAACTCAGGAACTCGTCTTCCTCGTGTACGTGCACTGAAAAAGTTTACTGAATTTTAATAAAAATTTGTTTAAATAATGCTAACAAACATTTATGTTTACTCAATAAAAAAATGATACTTAAATCAATATATAATTCTTGTACTAAATAAATATATATTTACATTTAGTAAATACTTCGTTAGTATTATTCAAATAAATATTTATTAATATTTAGTACATTTTTTCCAATGTACAGTTCCTTATTCGATTAATCTACTTCGCTAAAAAAAAAAGACTGGAGAACGCGCTTGTCTCATCCTTAGGGGAGAGTGATCTAAATCTATTTGCAGTTTTTGCTCTCTATAAGGTTTAAATAAAGTCCGATAGTAAAATCGAAGGTGACATTGAAAAGATCATTTAATTCCCTTCATTTTTGCTTCAGACCATTTTGACGTATCTTTCACCTATGTTAAACTATAATGAATTTGGAACCATCGGTTCAGATCGAAAACTCCTATTTTTATGGATTTTTAGATGGAATTTTAAAATATTTTAATGTATTTTTCTTAGTATTGAGTAAAAACGAGCAATTTGACAAAGATAAAAATTTTTTTTCGGAAAAAGAAATTACTGACTGTTTATATTATTAGAATTGAAATCAATAAAACTCAACTAATCTGAGTCCGATGACTCATGATATTTTTACTAATTTAATTGCTTGGACCAGATCTGGTCAGCCGATCACAAATACTACAATCAGGCCTATAAGTTATTCACTGTACTATCCGATTTGGACACGGTCCTTTCGAACTTTGGAACAAATTTTACAATAAACCGCAAAAGTGATCACAAAATGCTTGATATTTTTGAATTCTACACTCTTTAATTATCTTAAATCAATTACTTTTCAAATTTTTAACACCTTTTAAATAATAATTTACAAGGATTTTCTTTTTTAAAAACATTTTCGCACGATGGCTGAAAATACATATTTGCGTCTATTTTATGAATATTATGACAGAGAACTGTCAAACTGCTATCACATGTTCGGTGTCTTATAAAGATTTACATTATAAATAGTACGCAAATCTGTTTAACCGTATTTATTTAAATTAAAAAGGTCCTATTTGGAACACGATCCGATTTAGACCACTCTCCCCTACAATAGAAACTGAATAATAGAATTATAAAAAATATAAATAAAAACATAATTCTGTACACACAAGATTCTAAAAATCCGTAAATAATGAAGGAAATCGTTTGCAATTAGTGGTCGCGTGAAAGTTACTAACGAGGAAGATCGAGAAAGCTAATTCAGGAAACTCGCTTTCCTCGCAATTTTACTTACGCCGGTGGGAGGGTTGGACACGTATATGACCGTGCAATAATATCGATTGATCGCGTTCCTAACGAAGCTCGCGGCGAGGATACAACGGTAATCCGCACCCCGCGCGTTGCGACCGTCGTGACGACAGGCGACACGTATATCTTGTCGAGACCGGCTGGGCGACGAGCGACGCCGCATTGAGCGACGTCGCTTCTTTGCGATCCTATTCAACGTGTATTCCCTTCGACACGACCGAAAGATCCACAAATGACACTTACCACCCGTCGCACCAGACGCGGACCTCCTTGCGAGTCTCCTCCGTCATGACGGTACACACGATCAAGTTTCCGACACTATTGACAATACTGACTGTCTCTTCCTACAGTTCCTACCGTGACTATCGTGAATTCGTGACTGTCTGTCGATTGTCGGAGCATGTAGTGACGTCCGCCGGCGGCCGGTCGTGGGCTGATCCGAGAGGGGGACGAAAGGGCGGAGGGGAGAGAAGCCACGCGCGCGCACAACTCGCAGCAGAGCAGACGTCAAACTGCCAACGAATAGCGAATACCGATCCCGACAATCTCGAAGTGAGTCAGATCGCATGCGTTGTTTCGCATATACGTTGCGTAATACGTTTCATTACGATATCGGTGGCGGGCTTTGAAATACCCGCCGCGTCCCGTGACTCACAAGAATTGAAGTTTCATTCTCATGCCGAGTTGGCGTCATCGCCGAGTAGGGATCAGGGCTGACGTAACTCCTAAAAGGGGAAACACGACCCTTGTGGAAAAATTTAACTGACGCGATAACGCGCATCTCTCCTAGTATCAAATTTTGCAAATTTTGTTAATTGGTTTCGATTCTTATCTTGCGGATTAAAAGCCTATATGATTAAGCCATTCTGATTATAGTGATTTTATATAAAGTCCCAAGGAGAACAAAAAATCAAAATAATGTCAATTTGACGTCATATTGACGAATTTATGTCATTTTTTGGTCATGATAAAAATCTCGATCTCAGATGATCTAAGAATGATTTTATACTCCGAATGCGGGAATTTCGGATCACCCTGTATACATATGAAGTTATTTGTATATAAATTAGTTATTTATATATAAAGTCATTCTTAGATCATCTGAGATCGAGATTTTTATCATGACCAAAAAATGACATAAATTCGTCAAATTGACATTATTTTGATTTTCTTGTTCTCTTTGGGATATTACCGAACACACTGATATTATTTGATTTAAATTTCTGAATCTTTTTTTCTCAAGTCTCTATCGAAGAAATAAATGATTTTTGTATCGGCATCTTCGAAGTTTTATTATGGAGTTGTCCGTAGCTCGCATGATCGATTGCTGAGGCAGATGCGAAGACGTATCCCTGATAGATTTCACTTGATTTCTCCGCAGTCATATATGCGCGAAAATCAGGGTTGGATAGTGCTAAATTAAAAAGATAAAAGTTAAGTTAAAAAGTTAAAATTAATTAATTTTAACTTAACTTAGACTTTTAATTTGATTTTTTCTCTTCGTTAATTTTCAGACACAATGCGAAAGAATAACGAGTATATAATTTAGTAATTTTATATTGTATAAGCGTTACTTGTGAACAAAAATAACCAGATTCTTTAATAAATGTGCTGTGAGAAAGGAAAAATACGAAAAATTATGTAAAATGGTCAAACTTTTTCTTTTAGTTATTCGTTCGGATCATATTTAACTTTTAACTTTTTAATTACTTTTTTTATTGACTTAACTTTTAATTCAATTAATTTCATTATAATTTGTATTTTAATTGAGATAAATTTTCAAGGCTAACTTTAACTTAGTTAAAAACAAAAGTTACCCAACCGAAAATATTAATTCTTATGTTCTATTCTTGTATATATAGGTACAAGTTCTTTTTTTTAAATATATACTTTTATAGAAGCTATATCTGTTTTTAAAAATTAATCGTAGAATGAAGTGGCAATTTAACTCGATAACAAAATATTTTTTATTTTGAATTATTTTGAAGTGACAAATAATTCGATTATTTTAGTAAATCAATGTACAGTAATCACTGTAATGTCTGTCGAGTTAAAGTTTTAATTTTCATTATTTTACAAATAAACGATGAATATAGTATCGTAGTTACCTGTTACTCATAGTACTCTAGTTCTCTTTATTAGAAATTGCAATTAAACCGAAAAATTGAATTTTATTTAAATATATCTTTTAGACTCAGTGCTAGAGGAACATGATGATTTGGCATATAATTTTTCTGTAATACTAGATGTACATATACTTAGTGTCCCGAAATTCGCGAATCAAAATATTACAGCTAAAAAATAAGCTATAAAAGTATTCTTTTTCTTTCTTACTGTGATATTGATTTGTGAATTTCGAGCATCCTGTATATTAGATACATATATATATAAATAAATGTGACTATAAATAGTACACAATCATGTGCTTTATCTTTTCTCGATTTATATATGTATACACCCTTGTTACAATGTTAAAAATCTCTTTGTTCCAGTATACAAAGAGACTAGGAAGATAGAGATAAGATTCACACGATTAGTACTTGTAGCAATTATTACGCATCCATTGTAGTTAAAAAACTGTTAAGTCATCATATTTGTTATTACTATAATCTAGCAGATATAATGTTTGCTAGCATTATAATCTAACAGACACGAAGATTTATTATATAAAATGCAGTCATTTTAGAATTCCAAAAATATGTGAAACGTAACGAACAAAGTAATAAAATTAAATGTAGGAGTTTAATCTTATTACTTTTCCAGTTTCCTTAAATTTATATATAAACTAAACGTTATCTTACTTGTAATATTGAACTTTGTTACGCGACAAGGAAGAAGCAATGACATTCTACACATTTTGATGATTGACAGCATCGCCATAAAAACATGTATCGTAACGATGATGCGGGTAATTTAATTCGAAAGCTGGAAAGCTTGATCATTGTGGAAAAATGGGCGATATAATCATAGACATAACAAATATTTTATTGTTGCGCGATAAATCTCGCTGAAGTAAATATTTTCACTTGAGTAAAAAAGCAAATTCCAAACTGGATCGTATGATTCTCGATAACCAATGAATGAAGCAGCTGATCTTCCCCCCGGCACTTTAAAAGATTAATTAATTATCGATAATGTCATAATAAAATTATCAGGCGTCTTTAGATAGGATATTTCATAGTAAATTTAACATTAGTACATATATATATATATATATATACACGCATGTTTGTATGACGGCATTCATGACTTAGATGTCTGACTTATATGTAACAATGTAACTTATCAAAATGTCACATCGACGTTGATTGAATGCTGATCATAAACACACGTTTATACATATTCATGATTTATGATACACAGAGGAATCTCTGAAAATGTGTTTATGATCAAAATAAATTGCAATTATACAAGCATAAATTAAATTTATGTCGTTATTACGATATCGATAGCATTATAGAAATAAATACGCACGTAAAAATAAAAAATAAATACGCTCTGCGTCAAAGAAATATCGAAGAAAAATCATTTAGAAGAGCCAACGCTACGTTTTAGCTTTTTATAGTGTCAGTCTTACACTATTTTATTGAATGTACAGCGGCAAGCCAATCGAATTGTAATACTATATCGGCGGCAATCTCATGCGATAATTGACCGCTTAAATATATTAAGGAGCTATCCTAATTATAACACATGTGACTTGCATAATTGATATTATAATATTACTTAAAGCTAATGAAGGTGACGTGTACTGGAAAAGAAAAGGAGACGAATGCTCGTGAGAATGTGTAATTTTTTGGAACGATTCTCCGCAATTCTTGGCTCATCGGCTCAATCAATCGTTGACTGCCATTATTCCCTCTGGAACGCAGATGGGAGTATTCTGTTACAAATAAGAAAGATATATAGAGCCAGAAGAAAATGTCGCCCTTATAATTTTTTCTTATTCAGATAGTCTTTTAACTATCTAAGACCGATATTCATGGTCAATTCTTATATCCAAGTCTGTCTTAAGTTCTGTCTTGAGGTGTCACGAACCAATCAGAGGGTTGCATTAGCGTCTTAAGACATTACTTAAGACGATCTTGAAATAAGAACGGACTATGGCTGGTATTCATAGTCGGTTCTTATTTCAAGAAAGTTCTTAAGTAACATCTTAAGATGCTAATACGCCTCTGATTGGTTCGTGACACTTCAAGACAGAACTTAAGACAGTCTTGAATATAAGAACTAACTATGAATACCAGCTTATGAATACTGGCCTAAAATTTCTCTTTTCTTTGTTATATAATACCCACACTTGACCGTTCGTTCAATAGCCGTTTTGTTGCCTGTAGCTGCTTCCATATCCACTATTGTTCTGGCTGTAGCTACCAGAGCCACCGCCGGAAGTTCCACTTCCAAAGCTGTTTTGAGGGAACGATTTACTGCTTCCATAGCTAGCCCCGCCTATGCCACCTATGTGAAGCGTACATCAAGCATTTACAAAACACAATAATTTCACCCATCTAATGCTACGAACGTCACAATATGGCAGCAGTGAACATAATCAAGAGTCTTAAAAAATAGGGAAGTGGAAAGAATAGAAGGGCTAAGAATACGGAGACTTGATTGTATGGTGACTTGATTCATATTTTACTGATTTAGAATAATGCAAATAACATTTTTTTCCGTTTCAAGCGGAGACAGATTCAACGAAATTACACAATCAATTTTTTAAAGGCTGAGAACCCACCGCTACTGCTTCCGGACCATTTGTTGCGATCACTTGCGCCAGTACCGGAAGAGC